TTGCTTACTAAGAAGCTTTTCAGTGATAGATTGTTAGTTTCGTCCACAGAGTATAGATGACGGATTTGTTGATTACACTCTACCCCAGGAACCCAGCCGGTTTCAATCAGCTCTGGAAAACATCCATAAATATTGCACCATATATTGATTGGCGGGAAGGTAATCATTATCATTTCGTCCCAACGAGATATATCTATTCTGGTATTCACTATTTGTGTTCGATAAGCTACCATAAGACATTTCATGAAAATTCGTTTCAGGTACCATGTTTCTACAAAAATTAGAGTGGATAATTTATCAAACCCGTTGTTTGAAGGCTAAGACGCATTCAACACCAAATTCTCGCAATGGATTCTAGTGTGTCAAATTGTTCTTCCGTCAAACTGAACACGTTTTCATGGGAAAAACGTATTTGCACATAATCTCGATTCAACAATGAAAGCCGAACAAACCTCATGATACTGGTGGTCATTTATTGTTTCATAGTGTGTTGGGCTCCAGGTGTCATTTGTTTCATAGTTGAAGCTTTTCGAGGTGTTCCGATGACCAGTTTGGCAAAGGGGATTTCGTTGTGGATTGGTTTTGCTAACAACGCCTGTAATCCCACTGTTTACGGTTTGCTGGACAAACGGTACAGAAAATCCTCCAGTCGTATAATCCTCTGCCGTCTCGGTGGCGCAATGTGAACTTTAATTCACACATTTGTTTTCTTGAATTTCTCCAACACCATCTTCCATCTCACGAACAACCGACGATTTTCATCAGTTTCATCATAAATTTAATGTTCTACCAAAGTGTATTCGTTCGACTTGAGAATACAAATTGATACAGATTCATAGCTTGTCTTCATTCTATTTCATTTCTCTTCGTTTCGTTTCGAATTGTCTTATTACTTTGCAAAATTGTTCATCTTGTTCAAGTCAGGTTGATTTACCACTGCCTAATTTACAACTACGAACTGACTGTGTTGTAAGCAATGTTGATCTGATGCTGCTAACTTCTTGATGACAAATGGTAGCTTGTATCTAATGTGTGATCGATTGTGAACCCCTAATACATAATGGGCCCTCTACATTCCCTCAAACACAAACCATATACTTGACTCATTTATTTGAGACAAGTATATACTCTACATTTCAGTACTGGTTCGACCGGATTCTGTTTTCAGATAAGAGGATAGCACTTCGGAGATGAGGTGATTGCAATCTGCAGCATGACAGCAGCCTAATAGTTCAATTTATTTTGCATTATCAGGTAATTCAAAAAGCCTATCCAACCAGTCATGATCGCTACCTACATTCAAGCCCGAAAGCCCAACAGTGTGAAAAGCTGTATCCTGTCGTTTTAAACGATATTTTCTCATATTGGGAGTTACATTTGAGTTTCACGTGTGCTTTTCGCAAAGCCATATACCATGCTTGTGTGAAATCGGGACAAAATAGCAAGGTCTGTACCAGAGGTGAGGGTCATTTTGTTCCACATCGGAATAGCACTAGGAGTATGTAACGCACTGGAAGCACATGATAATGCTCTAACCCAAAACGAGAAACAGGACACACAATAACGGAGTCGAATTCGAAATGCACTCACCCATCTTTGAATATCTGAGAAGTGTAGAATGCAGTTGAACAGGAAATTTCACAATTCAATTGCCATTATTCCTTTCTCTCAAACACAAACTGATTCTAGAATATCCAGAGGTGGGTGTTCAGTAACTTTGCATTTTCTAAGTCGTATCCAGTAGTTTATTTAGAAACAGTTGAACTTTTCTTTTGGGGGTATGGCTTCTGTTTATCGTAGGTATACTGTATGTACCGATACGACTATCTGTGACAAGCTTTTGTCTGGATTCTTCCCCATACTCCCGTTTACAAGTCTTCGAGCGAAATATTTATGAAATGCCCTAGGTCGAATGAACAACGAAGGCTTGAGTCGGTAGTCAGATGTGAGAATGTATGCCGTATATCGTGAGATCATAATGGCATCAATACGAAAGCAATGGCGTAACGAAGGTGAACCACGAGCCTATGCAAACAGAAAGACCGTAATTGTGTCCCGAGTGAATTCGACGGGAACTTCGTCAATGCAAATTCGTTAAAACTCAGGACCCCTAAGAAAAATATGATAGACAATTCTATTTCCTGTCGGAGGGAGCAGTTGTGAGATATATACGAATGTCACATTATCCGAATGGTATAGTTTGTTGACTCCGGTGAGTTTTGTACTCACGCATGGTGCCGCCCATGCTTTATTACCGCGTGCGTTCTACCAGCTGAAATGAAGGAACGCGCCAAAAGGCTTCGGACGTTTCACATATGGATCATACAGTTTACCTGCCCCAATTACCGTAGAGAATGGAATCCTCCACATAAAACTAACTTGTAATTTGACTTCCCAACTTAGGATTCTACTATGAATTAACAATTGTCCTTCAGCTGAAAGCGTGTTTTTTATGAAGTGGGGCTTGGCTGATTTGGAATGATCCAAATGTTACATGTTGAGGGATATTTAGGTGAAAACATATCAAACGAGATTAACCCTAGTCCATCCCATCTTGTGCATTGCTAAAACAGTTTCCATTCCAGAATGCACAACCGAATATTTGCCCTGAACTGATTAATTAGAGCTTCAAGTACCACGCTAGACCATTATAGTGACACAATGTTAACATGGCATGCCATTCTGAAAACATGAAATGTTAGGTGAAACAATTTAGATGGAATATGTTTTGTGAAGCTCATCAATTTTACAATCCAAATGATTGCGTATGAGACATGGTGGCTGGAACCAAATCGGGAATGGGACACACATGGATTCCCGGTTAGACAAGAGAAGTTGCTTGCGTGAATGACTACTGAGTTCAAAACCATGAAATCAGACAGAACTCATTCCTTTGTATTTATTGATGTTTTCGCTTAATGCCGATATTATTGGGAGACAATCTGCATGACATTGCAAAGCTGGGAATCTGAGTGACACCAAGGGGACTAATTCCGCTTAGAAGACCTATCGAGGGATCTTGTGAGATGGCATAGTACATTCATTCCATTATTTGTCACCGTTCACAGTTACGCAGTTTTCGGGATTAACTTATGGAAATTGCTCCGACTAAGGGTATCTTGTGCTAACGCGTTGGTTCATCCTCATTTTTCGTCCGGAAATGTAGGCGTGTACTTGCGTAGTGTGAGTGAGATCGTGACCGTATGCCATGGTTGATCGTAAACTGCACCATTTAACCTAGTTGGTTCTATCCGTCTACACCACAGCAGAACACCAGATTATTTTAAACCCATATGACGTATTTGTGAAATTGGATGAATTCCACGTAACTTCAAGTGACACCGCCAATCCCAAGGCTCTTGAAACACAGGGAATCAACTGGCTTGAAAGCGGTTACCCGTAGCCTACCCACGAAATCTCTCTGTTGCTTTATGAAACGGAGTTTCTTTAACAACGGCAGATGCAAACGAAAGAGCCTGTGAGGTTTATAGGGGTCATGATAATTGTTCATTGCGACCATTGCATGATTGTTACACGCACTGAGAGTACGAAAGTTGAAATATGGTCAGTTTTATAGTTAACGCTCGAAGCGACACCGCTCACAGACAGTGAAGTGTCAGGTAAAGTGCATGAGACTATGTGGTCCACTGTCATCGGTATCGGAGTTCAGTTCATGTGTGACCTAATGGACTGGCGGTCACAAGGGCCTCAGAGCAGACAGGTCTTGATTGAAGAATGAGTGGTGGACTAACTGAATGGACCCTTGGTCTCTGGACAGAAAGTATCTCAGTAAGATTCTGAGGTTGGTTTGGATACTTTTGGCTCTCTAGATAGTGATAAATCTATTAGCTCTGTCCGTGCTGTGCTATGCGTTACAAAGAAAAATTTGGGTTTGAATCACATTAACCTGTATAAGTCTAGAGTGTCTGAGTAAGAAAGTTAGTTAAGGCTAGCTAGATAACAGGTTGAATATCCCACATGACAGAAATACCATAACGATGGCAACCAATCAGGCACCTTGCAGACGGCAGATTGTTCCATTCCAAATATAGTGATGAACGAGGAGAGAAAATTCGCCCTTTCGTCTCATCAAAGATTGACTTCTTAAAAGTGGAACTGAAGCCATTTAACGGGCACCTTAAAAAATATTGTTCATTTACAAATCGGTACGAAAATTTCGTTGAGTGCAAAGTCGTTGAATATGGACACATGTTTTTTGTATTTACGGCGGTAATGCCATGGGAAAGCCACATTCGCAACAGAGAGTTGATCAATGCTTGATCCAACAACGGGTCTACAGAAAGACAACATGAAATGGGCAACGTACAAACTGTCACAGTATTTTGCCCACAAATCAATAAAGAAACCTGGTAAGCTATTTGACCTCAAGGGCCAAACACACATTCCCTGGTGTTATGCTGTGTGCAGAGCTACAGAAAACCCTTAAAGTCCTATCAGCGAAAGGCTATCCAGAGAAACCGATTTTGCTATTGAAATTTGCTGAACCCTAATCAGACAGGATTTACATGTCCAGATTTTATCGAATGCGGAAAATCCCGCAGCTGTATACGACATAATGAACATTGATTTGTCTGAAAATAAGTATGCGGATAAATACTTTAGGAAATTTTTTAAGAGGTTATAAACAGAAATCAGTCCCAGGTCTTTCCGTAAACGTTGACACATGATACTTCTGTTGATCACATCACAGTGATATTCAGCAAACCAGATATCATCATAATATCCATCATATACGGTATCATCGTCACCATCATGTTCACCACCATTATCAACATCATCGTCATTATTGTCAGAAACGTCATTCTAAAGAGAAAAATCATCATCATCAAAACATCATCAAAATCAAAGTAAAAAACAACATAATCTTCATTAGTATAATCAACATCATCATCATCTTCATCATCATCTTCTTCATCATCATCATCATCATCATCGTCATCATCGTTATCAACTTCATCATCATCATCATATAAAAGAAGTTAATCCAAGACAACTTCATAATCATCATTACCAGCGTCATCTTTATCATCAAAATCATTATAATCAACATCATCAACATAATCGTCAACATCATCATCATCATCATCATCATCATCATCATCATCATCATCATCATCATCATCATCATCATCATCATCATCATCATCCGAATCATCTTCATCATCATCATCATCATCATCATCAACATCACCATCATCATCATCATCATCATCATCATCATCATCATCATCATCATCATCATCATCATCATCATCATCATCATCATCAGCATCATCATCATCATCATCATCATCATCATCATCATCATCATCATCATCATCATCATCATCATCATCATCATCATCATCATCATCATCATCATTATCATCATCATCATCATCATCATCATCATCATCATCATCATCATCATCATCATCATCATCATCATCATCATCATCATCATCATCATCATCATCATCATCATCATCATCATCATCATCATCATCATCATCATCATCGTCATCATCGTAATCATCCGCTAAATCTTCTTCAACCTCGCAACCATGTTCTACGTCCTTCTTCTCGCATTTTTTCCTGTTTGCTTACTTCCACTGCTTGTTTCTCATCTTGATTTCACATTTTCTATTCACTCTCTTCTAATTTTCTTCAATATTTCTTCGTTTTCCCATGAACGCTTACAAATTCATTTCATTCTTTTTGTGCACACCGGGATATTCTAATGCCTTATGCCAGGCTTGTTTTGAACTATACTCAAGATTGTCGTTGTTTGATGATAATGAACGATATAAGGATGACCGTATGCTTTTGTTAACATAATACCCTTCGAGTGTAAATGACAAGTGAAATGCCGGGGATGACCAACGAATCAGATCCCAATGTACATTGGTCCAGCACACTCACAATCGCCATGCATGAGTATACTGACTGCTGTTTCATTCCGTACAGTTGAATATACTCGTACTTGTTGTCCACATAGCCACCAAAACAATCATAATTGTCAGACGGTAACATATGATCAGCCAACTGTTCTTTCGAGAATGATATTCGATATCTGGGGATTTTTATAATCTGACCCTGAACTGTCCACGTTGTTTAGGCAGCCTAACAGGAACCACTACCCCTCTATTTGAATAAGATCATCACTGGGTTGGTGAGCTACAAAAATATCTCCTCATCTGATCTTTCACATAAATCACAGCCTATGCAAGCCCAACCAATACTGTCCAGTTTGGTGTCATCTGTTGTCCCATACGGAATGAGTAACTGAGTGTGAGTGTAGATTGGACGCGGATGACATTTCTCATAGGTTTATGGCATTGAGTTTCTCGAATTGCATATCAGTGAAACGGTTCAATTCCAATGTGTAGGTGACGAGGCCGAGATTGTGACGTCGGTTGTGTTCTTGAATACGTTTTACATACTCTTCCCAAATATTTCGTCTGTGCTCATCGTCAGCTTCGGTGTATTCTGCATACTATATTCGCTTTCCATGATGCCACAAATCGTCATTCGAAGCAAACACTCCGACAGTGAGGACGGTTGGGATTGCCAATGATACCATTCATTTAGTATCGATGATCATGTGGTTCAATCGGTAGTCGTCGAAACATTCCAAATCATTCACATTCTCACGTGCATAATCAAATTTATATGTGGATAAACTTGAGTGTGCTTGTGGAATGAATAGCAATTACGGAACACCCTCAATAAATTCATCTGTCACGTTGTAAGAAACGTACGCATCTTAATTCTATCCAAAGGGAGACAAAGTTGTAGACTATCGTTGACAAGGAGTACAAAATTGGTAATACGATCGGTCACGGTTGTATCAATCGTGATTGAACTTTCCATGTACAATGTGATGATATTGTGGTGATTTAGCCGCCGTCACACACGAAGCGGCCAAGTACAGCTTCGTGGCTGCGCATGTGGACGAGCCCCAACCAATCGGTTTTTCCGTGGACAGGTATGACAAAAGCTCCCCATCTTTGGTCAACTTCCAATCTACCAATTATTTTCTTCGATTTAAAATATTTATACAAACGGGTTCCGTAATACAATCAACATGCTATTCCTAAGCCTTGGGGTTCTTACTACTTTTGTTTACGCAGTTCCGGGTGAATGCGACTTTAGTACTCCACATAAGTTCGGCTATTGCGATTACTACATATATAAACCCTTATTCCATTGTGCTATTGGCATCAAAATGAGAATAGCATGCATCGGAGCAGTTTATTCTCAGATGAAATACAAAACTGCTTCGGGAGATATTAGCTTACCTCGCACATCCGATAAACTATGACTTTTTCAAACGTGTTTTTCTCACAAAAGTGAACAACTTATCCAATACATCATATCTCAAAAGAGTGCTCCTCGCAAAATTGAACGAACAAATTTTCAGCAGAAATCGCAACTTGGAATATTAAATCTCATGTGATTACGTGATCAATGTATGTCACAATACGAGCTGACAAAACTTGACATATAATGATCTGCAATGCAGTAGGTTGCAATTGAGCGAAAGGTCCACGAAGTAAGTACGAAAAAAATATTCGGAATAACGGTAATGGTAGAAAAAATAGGATTACGATGAAGATCGAGATGATGAAGATCGGGATGATGATGATGATGATGATGATGATGATGATGATGATGATGATGATGATGATGATGATGATGATGATGATGATGATGATGATGATGATGATGATGATGATGATGATGATGATGATGATGATGATGATGATGATGATGATGATGATGATGATGATGATGATGATGATGATGATGATGATGATGATGATGATGATGATGATGATGATGATGATGATGATGATGATGATGATGATGATGATGATGATGATGATGATGATGATGATGATGATGATGATGATCATGATCATGATGATGATGATGATGATGATGATGATGATGGTGATGTTGATGATGATGATGATTTGGATGATGATTCGGATGATGATGATTCGGATGATGATGATGATGATGATGATGATGATGTTGATGATGTTGATGATGATGATGATGATGATGATGATGATGATGATGATGATGATGATGATGATGATGATGATGATGATGATGATGATGATGATGATGATGATGATGATGATGATGATGATGTTGATTTTGATGTTCTCGATGGTTATTTTGTTTTTTTGAGTGCGTTTCGAATTATTCTTACGAGGATACTCTTGGTGATGATGGTGAACATTTTTTGGTGATTGCATTCTTCCGTATCTATCACTCGATCCATGTTGTTTTTTTGGTCTTCATTCTCTTTGCCTCTCTTTTGTCTTCAGTTATTAATTGAGCAGCGCTCGATTGAGCTGCGTCAATTCAGTTTGTATATACTCTTATGTCAACAAGTGATGCTCTTCATGCGGTCGTGTGCATTCGTTTACTTTAAATTGGTGTTTGTTGATAACATTCAGCAGTAGGTTTTGCTTGGGTTACGGAAATAATCCCATTAGTTTATATTTCTCATATTTCCGAGATGATCCGTGATAAGACTTGAGTGCGAAGGTCAGTGCGGATTTTGTGCCATACTGTTACGATTTCTAACGCTGCCCGGCAGGCTACGTGTTGTGCTTTCAACAACTCAACTGGGGACTGACAGTTCCAAATCACCATCTCGTCATTTTGTGGGCCATCGTGCTGATCCATTCTGAAGCAATTTGCTTTAACGCCATATCGCATACGGTACATTCGTCACTGGTAAGCGAGGTTTCCTGTGGTTTGGTTGGTGCAATAAGAAACTACTAAAATACCAGTAAACGTGTCACTTTCCTTTCAAATTACAAGAAAAATACATGTGTTGTGGTCAAGTTACTTCAGTTGTAGTGTCATCCTCTGCAACGGTAATTTCCAGATGCCTTTACCACAACAGACATGCAATGTTTGGGCCGAGACATGGAGGTTCGTTTCTTTGTTGTTATGGGGTGACGGATAGGAGTGCCACGTGTGCGTTGGTAACTTGTTGTGATCTTGGGTATCTCCCATCTCTTGGGTCTCGATCGAGTATCCAGATCTGATCTATGGCTCCACGAAGCTGTCACACGCATTCGTGGTCACACGCCGGAGAACAGCTAGACAAGGGGGCTAACCGAATTCGAAGATAACCGAGGTCAACTTCCTCATTGGTACATACTGAGAGAAGTAGGCCTATGATTTTATAATTAACTGCGTCTTCCCGTCTCATAAGCAGTAGATTTGCATGACTGGTGGAACCGAAATATGAAACAGTACCTATTCTTGTCATTTGTCTGTACGAATTATACATGAGTTGTATGCATAAGCTAACTGAGAGAGAGAGTAAATTTGTATTCAGAGCATTTCGGTAATCTGAGGGTTAAATACACCCGAAAAGGAAATTCACAAATATAAGACAGATTACTAGAAACACTACAGAGATTTTGGGTTTCCAAAATACCGTATCTGAATGAGTGTGCTAGACAACTGGCGTACAGGTAGCTCGTATGAGATAGAGTACGGCTCCCAGAATCACTTTCGAAGAACTACGGCATTTTGTCCAATCCCACTTGATGAATTTTGAAATTAACCCCCTACACCCCCAACCACAAGACAGTGCTTGCCGTTTCAAGAAAATACACCTATCATCCAATTACTACTCAACAATTTCCATCATTATTCAGCTCTTAATGACTGGGACGACTCAAGTACCCGGGAAATTACGAGGTCAAAATGACCAGTAAAATCAATGTCATCTGGAATACAATGATTCCACCTAAATTGAAACATGCAAGTGTGGTGCGATCTAACTCTGAAAAGATCAGATCCTATCAAACTAATGCCAGACAAACTTAACCAGATCGATGAAGCTATTGCGAAATGTTTGTTGTGTAATTTATACGCTTGCAAATTCATAAAATCAAACAATCACTTAGCAAGAAATCCGCCAGATTTGTAAACAGTAATTTCCTACTTGATCTCGTGTGTATGTATTCGAATAGCGATAACCATTCATTTCAAAATCCATGCTCCAGTAGTGAACGGAACTCACGAGGATCGGGAAAATATCGATCTCGTTCGGTTGAATATACACACATCTATTGATATTTCCCAATCACGGTAATAGGAGAGAAAATGAAGCAAAGCTGAATGAAATTTATTGTTTGGTGCGTTTTCATAATAACAGAAACGTATCACGGAAATCGTGCCACCATCGGGAGACTGGCCAGCGAAGCAATTCCACACATGTTACCTCGATTCCTAGCCATTCGAATGTAACCGCGCTCACCCCAGTACGATCCCCAACTATTTTTCACAATCCAATAGTCAGTACCACCCTGTGTTCCGTAACCGACAGCCAAGACTGCATGATTCACACGAAGCGGTGAACAAGTTTGGCTCTGATAAATACCACTCCTGTTTGAACAGAAAACAACAATATACATGTGAATGTGACAACGCCAGTTTGGAAATGAAATGGTGCTTAGAATGATTGAAAATAGAGAGGAACGGAAGAGAGCGAACACGTATGCTATGCGAATCGGAAACAAAAAGCCTGTTCAACTGAGAACTACTTACCGCGATGTGCGTGCAATTGGACGTATTCGAAATGGGCAATTCAAATCATACTTCTCCCAAACCGACTTGTGACCGGGATGCGGGTGAGCATAAATCCCAAGTACTACATGTGTTATTTGACAATATACCACACGCATGATCAGCAGTTACACTTACAATTACATCTGTGCTAGTGTAACACTGAAGATGGATTGCCTGTGCGAATTGTGAAACGAATGTCATCTACTGAGCCCATTTGTTACCCGTGAAGCGCACGTTCAAACTGTTTGATCAAAGCTAAATGAAACCAAATTTGATGATTATCGTACTCCATAAGGAGAGAACACAAGTGTCATTCGGTCTGAACAATCCAGTGAGCAACTGTGTGGAATCTAGCAATCCGGTTGTCATACATACGAGTAGGTTAGTACATCATACATGTATCGATGACGAGGAAAGTCGAACGGTAAACTGATAATTGAAAATCTCTAACCTATCTGTCTCACATATTCTCTCCCTCTCCCATTCTCTTTCTCTATTTCTCTCTCCCTCTCTCTCTCTACTTAGTTTATCATCCGTCTCATCCGAATGACATAAAAGCACGTACCTGTACATCATGAAGTCAGATTCCACATCCACAGCGACCGCGGCAGGTCCTTCGGCACCGACTAGATTTTTCAATTCTACCTCACTGCCAGAATGCACAGTGTAGTAGCCAGTCACTTTGGCAACTCCTAACTGCTTATTGTATCGACACTGACCTTCCTGAAATGGGATTAAATATTAAGTGAATTGAGTAAAGTAGTTGATAACAAGAGAAGAAATATTTTTTGAGATCAAATTGGTGCAACATGGTGGGAGGTAAAATGTGGGGAGGTGTAAGCAAAATGACTCGGAGGAAGAGCACACAGAAAAGCAGTACTCACCACAGCCGTGTACGGATAAGAGGATTCGGTTTCCAATCCAAATTGTTTCAAATATTGGTAAGCATTTTCCATCAATCCACCACTGCAACCATTATTTCCCCAAGGACCACTACAATCGACCAGTTGTTGCTCAGAGAATGAAATACTAGTTCTTTCGTTTTTCATATACTGTCCCTCCATAGTACCGGTTGTTGAGAATGCCCAACAGGAACCACAGTTTCCCTTTTCAAATCAAATCATCATCAGATTATTGGGTGTTCACAATCTATACTTACCTGATCTTTCACCTCCGTCACATAACCAGATTCACGCCAGTCAATTTTGTCGGGTACGGCACGATTGTTCGCCTCATACGGGACACCGTGTGAGAGTATATCGGACGCGCGTGACATTTCTGTTAGATATTTGGCCTTGAATTCCTCGAATGTCATATCCGTGAATTGGTTCAATCCCAATGTGTAGGTGACGAGGCCGAGATCGTGACGTAGGTTATGTTCTTGGATATGTTTCACATTCTTTTCCCAAATATTTCGTCTGTGCTGATCGTCAGCCCCATTGTATTCTTTATTGTACATTCGCTTCCACTGATGCCACAAATCATCATTCGAGCCAAGCACTCCGACTGTGAGGACGGCTAATATGAACAATCGCATTTTTCGATTATTATCGGACGTTCTGTCTAATCAAACTCAGATGCTCCCATATATATACATATGTATATTTATATATATTTTGTATACATACATATATGCATACATAAACGTCCACAGTTAAAATGTACAAATTCCAAACGAGGACCTCAGCATTTTTGGGCGTTCCTTTGAGAGTTGTATGATTAGAAACGGTGACACAATGATTGTGACACTTTTTGGTGTTCAAAGTTCAACAAACGCAACAAGTTAGTCTATTCTTTGATGTATAGATTCTACGTGAACGTGTTTGCGCAGATCCACTGATACCATGAATAAAGTAACAAAAGTGCTCGATCGAAGGTCAACATCTAAGAACTCCACGCCCATCTGACAATGTTTTGGGGAAAGTATTTCCATTCAAACAGGACACGTTGAGTCTAATTTTCATACCGTGCTCGTAGTCATACAGTCAATTAAAGCTACTGAAATCTTTACACTAACGATGAGGAACACGTTTGCCATTAGTTGATCATGTGAACATCTCGTTGAGGAGCTTGCTGTGATTATTTTCAAATCAATATTTCTTACTTGTCTTGTAATCTCTTCGGATAAGTAACCCATTCGAATTCACGAAACGACCAAGAACACTCATCAGTTACATAGTCAAACATTATTCTGAATTTCCAATAAATACTTATTGATTTGATGTGACAAACAAAATTTTCTCTCTTTACGTGTTTGTGAATGCAATGTAGGCTTTCATATCATACCTTTCCCTAACGAAAAATCGCAATCATTTATCGCGACGGAAAAGATATTTTGCATTCAGACGAGTGAACTCCTTATTCATTGTCACGTATTTGGTGTTCACATTCTATCTCAGTACAGACGTCTCGAGTTAACATCCCCGACTCTCCTCAAGGAGAGGTAGTGAGGTAGATACAAAGCACAATCAAGCAACAAGCCACGATTCTGCTACATATCGAATATAACCCGAATGATACACCAGGCGACAAACGTGTTCTACTCACATCTGATTTGGACTCGTGGAGGCACTCACACTTTCTCCAAGTTATCCGAGAGAAGAGAAGATTAGGGGACTTATTCTGTAGGTTAATACTGAATCACAGTCGACAAACTTGTGTTCCGTTGGAAAACAATTCAGAGTAAAATTGCCATTAGAAATGTGGTAATCAGTCTTGATCAGGATTTCTGATCGCCGAACATTAGTTCTATTCAGATCTGAAAATTATTCAACGACATGAACACATATTCTGGACATGCTTCTCATCAGAGGCTGAATCATGTTTTGTCAGATAATATTCCAATCTCTTCGAATGCATACACGAGTTTGGTTGTTCAAACTATATTTGACATTTTCATATATTCGACGCGGTATAATTCGTCAATTGTTATCAACCTGATTGAGACGAGGCCTGCCAGCTGACTACACCGGGTCACTGATGCAACGGAACAGTGACCACTTTTTGGCTGCATTTGAGTTCTGAATGGCTGTGTTATCGTGCTGGAATATAGAATTCAGATTCAGGGACCGATTTCTGCAGATATGTGCTCCACAATTCTGAGAATGGAATTCCTCGAAGCGCAAGGTGGAAGGGGTTGGTGAAACGCAGATGAAATTGGTTACATGAGAAGCAAGGACTCAGCTGCAGTGGTTTGCCTTTAGGAGTCATTATATTGGCCAGCTTCGGTTGATGTGTTTGACTTGAACTGGCTGGTTTACGAGGACGAACGTGTTGGTAGTGCACTACGGAATGTTCAGTAGCCGCGTTGGATGAGTCGTCGAGTTGCCCACACTTTGACCGGATCCTAGAGAACGTGAGGTCTGGCTCAAGCAACCACTTCTCTCTCAGCTCCGGCAACGAGGCGGTCACGCAATCAAATCTCCAATTAATCTATGAAAATACACTTCGAGGCTTGTGTCTGTAGTGTCAGGATGATCTCTAGGAATTTGTTGATGGAAACATAAACCCGCAGGTGGAACTTGGTACGTTCGGTCGCCTAGAAATTGGTTGGAACCTCGTGGCCTAGCAGCAGAGCTTTCAACTCATCCAATGACTATCAGACCGTTCTTCGATTCAAAATAGTGGACTTGTGTATCCAAAACAATTTCATCCGTTTTATGGAGCCCATGTAGCGTTGACATTTGTCCACGTGCATACCTGAATCAGAAGATGCTCCAGCTCATTGTGAGGTCCACTCTTGGCAACCATATCAGCTATGCATGAAGCATTGCCCGACAATCCGGAAACCAAAGCACCTATTACCCCTCAAAATATGGTCACCTTGGTTTAAAGAACAAAATGAGATGAGTTGATTTACAATATTTCATTGATATCTTTAACCACGAAGCTTTGTTCACTACTATCATCTCTAGTGAAGTATAACAACGTTTCCCGGTATCCGAATTTCTCTTCAACGTTCACGTACGGGATGTTCTACGGAGTGCTTTCTCTGATCTCCCAGCTCGTGGAGTTGAGCTACTCTCACGGAATAAAGTTATACACTTTGAAAATGCCCTAGATATGGCCTTGACGAGTGACAATACCCGGGTGTTGTCACATATCGCTGTCTGATCGGACATTTAGACACGATCATCCGTGAACCGATAATGGACATTCCAAACGAACTAGGTTGAATAAAGTCTCGCACATTCAGAATATTAAAGTGAATACACCAGATTAAACCGCGAACAGCAAACAGATTAGCAGTAAAAGCAGTGCTGCGAGATGAGATGCCGCTGATCAAGTTATTGCATAAGTTGCTATTCCACTTGGCGTTCTATCGAAAGCGCGAATAAATTGAACAACAAGATTGGCTTATTCATAACGAACGAGTTCATGTTGGTTCACATAACACTAACGCTCTACTCGGTTTGCGTAGAGAGCTTCAACCAATCCTTCTGTGCTTATTGTTGACACATTTGAATAAATGCATCGCAAATTCCGGTGTCGTTTACCACTTTCTCAATTGGATAATGCAACGTGAATTTCTCGAGGAAAATCAGGCAATGACAAAATCTAACTACTGCTACCGTGCTCATTAGTGTTGCTGGACATTCAAATCTCGAGGAAGGTGCCCACTGCCGAAGAATACCCAGTACATGATTCCTCCAACCTATCGATACAAGTTAATATTTCCAGTGCGACTCGACATTCAAAATCACCATGAGTCACGAATCCATCATGCAAAATATAAACGGCAGAAAAGCTCGCCTGAATTAAATTTCAAATTTAGTGTTGGCTGCATGATTCAGACATTGAATAAAGTCACCTCGCAGTTCGAGGAATTCCATTCTCAGAATTGTGGAGCACATATCTGCAGAAATCGGTCCCTGAATCTGAATTCTATATTCCAGCACGATAACACAGCCATTCAGAACTCAAATGCAGCCAAAAAGTGGTCACTGTTCCGTTGCATCAGTGACCCGGTGTAGTCAGCTGGCAGGCCTCGTCTCAATCAGGTTGATAACAATTGACGAATTATACCGCGTCGAATATATGAAAATGTCAAATATAGTTTGAACAACCAAACTCGTGTATGCATTCGAAGAGATTGGAATATTATCTGACAAAACATGATTCAGCCTCTGATGAGAAGCATGTCCAGAATATGTGTTCATGTCGTTGAATAATTTTCAGATCTGAATAGAACTAATGTTCGGCGATCAGAAATCCTGATCAAGACTGATTACCACATTTCTAATGGCAATTTTACTCTGAATTGTTTTCCAACGGAACACAAGTTTGTCGACTGTGATTCAGTATTAACCTACAGAATAAGTCCCCTAATCTTCTCTTCTCTCGGATAACTTGGAGAAAGTGTGAGTGCCTCCACGAGTCCAAATCAGATGTGAGTAGAACACGTTTGTCGCCTGGTGTATCATTCGGGTTATATTCGATATGTAGCAGAATCGTGGCTTGTTGCTTGATTGTGCTTTGTATCTACCTCACTACCTCTCCTTGAGGAGAGTCGGGGATGTTAACTCGAGACGTCTGTACTGAGATAGAATGTGAACACCAAATACGTGACAATGAATAAGGAGTTCACTCGTCTGAATGCAAAATATCTTTTCCGTCGCGATAAATGATTGCGATTTTTCGTTAGGGAAAGGTATGATATGAAAGCCTACATTGCATTCACAAACACGTAAAGAGAGAAAATTTTGTTTGTCACATCAAATCAATAAGTATTTATTGGAAATTCAGAATAATGTTTGACTATGTAACTGATGAGTGTTCTTGGTCGTTTCGTGAATTCGAATGGGTTACTTATCCGAAGAGATTACAAGACAAGTAAGAAATATTGATTTGAAAATAATCACAGCAAGCTCCTCAACGAGATGTTCACATGATCAACTAATGGCAAACGTGTTCCTCATCGTTAGTGTAAAGATTTCAGTAGCTTTAATTGACTGTATGACTACGAGCACGGTATGAAAATTAGACTCAACGTGTCCTGTTTGAATGGAAATACTTTCCCCAAAACATTGTCAGATGGGCGTGGAGTTCTTAGATGTTGACCTTCGATCGAGCACTTTTGTTACTTTATTCATGGTATCAGTGGATCTGCGCAAACACGTTCACGTAGAATCTATACATCAAAGAATAGACTAACTTGTTGCGTTTGTTGAACTTTGAACACCAAAAAGTGTCACAATCATTGTGTCACCGTTTCTAATCATACAACTCTCAAAGGAACGCCCAAAAATGCTGAGGTCCTCGTTTGGAATTTGTACATTTTAACTGTGGACGTTTATGTATGCATATATGTATGTATACAAAATATATATAAATATACATATGTATATATATGGGAGCATCTGAGTTTGATTAGACAGAACGTCCGATAATAATCGAAAAATGCGATTGTTCATATTAGCCGTCCTCACAGTCGGAGTGCTTGGCTCGAATGATGATTTGTGGCATCAGTGGAAGCGAATGTACAATAAAGAATACAATGGGGCTGACGATCAGCACAGACGAAATATTTGGGAAAAGAATGTGAAACATATCCAAGAACATAACCTACGTCACGATCTCGGCCTCGTCACCTACACATTGGGATTGAACCAATTCACGGATATGACATTCGAGGAATTCAAGGCCAAATATCTAACAGAAATGTCACGCGCGTCCGATATACTCTCACACGGTGTCCCGTATGAGGCGAACAATCGTGCCGTACCCGACAAAATTGACTGGCGTGAATCTGGTTATGTGACGGAGGTGAAAGATCAGGTAAGTATAGATTGTGAACACCCAATAATCTGATGATGATTTGATTTGAAAAGGGAAACTGTGGTTCCTGTTGGGCATTCTCAACAACCGGTACTATGGAGGGACAGTATATGAAAAACGAAAGAACTAGTATTTCATTCTCTGAGCAACAACTGGTCGATTGTAGTGGTCCTTGGGGAAATAATGGTTGCAGTGGTGGATTGATGGAAAATGCTTACCAATATTTGAAACAATTTGGATTGGAAACCGAATCCTCTTATCCGTACACGGCTGTGGTGAGTACTGCTTTTCTGTGTGCTCTTCCTCCGAGTCATTTTGCTTACACCTCCCCACATTTTACCTCCCACCATGTTGCACCAATTTGATCTCAAAAAATATTTCTTCTCTTGTTATCAACTACTTTACTCAATTCACTTAATATTTAATCCCATTTCAGGAAGGTCAGTGTCGATACAATAAGCAGTTAGGAGTTGCCAAAGTGACTGGCTACTACACTGTGCATTCTGGCAGTGAGGTAGAATTGAAAAATCTAGTCGGTGCCGAAGGACCTGCCGCGGTCGCTGTGGATGTGGAATCTGACTTCATGATGTACAGGTACGTGCTTTTATGTCATTCGGATGAGACGGATGATAAACTAAGTAGAGAGAGAGAGGGAGAGAGAAATAGAGAAAGAGAATGGGAGAGGGAGAGAATATGTGAGACAGATAGGTTAGAGATTTTCAATTATCAGTTTACCGTTCGACTTTCCTCGTCATCGATACATGTATGATGTACTAACCTACTCGTATGTATGACAACCGGATTGCTAGATTCCACACAGTTGCTCACTGGATTGTTCAGACCGAATGACACTTGTGTTCTCTCCTTATGGAGTACGATAATCATCAAATTTGGTTTCATTTAGCTTTGATCAAACAGTTTGAACGTGCGCTTCACGGGTAACAAATGGGCTCAGTAGATGACATTCGTTTCACAATTCGCACAGGCAATCCATCTTCAGTGTTACACTAGCACAGATGTAATTGTAAGTGTAACTGCTGATCATGCGTGTGGTATATTGTCAAATAACACATGTAGTACTTGGGATTTATGCTCACCCGCATCCCGGTCACAAGTCGGTTTGGGAGAAGTATGATTTGAATTGCCCATTTCGAATACGTCCAATTGCACGCACATCGCGGTAAGTAGTTCTCAGTTGAACAGGCTTTTTGTTTCCGATTCGCATAGCATACGTGTTCGCTCTCTTCCGTTCCTCTCTATTTTCAATCATTCTAAGCACCATTTCATTTCCAAACTGGCGTTGTCACATTCACATGTATATTGTTGTTTTCTGTTCAAACAGGAGTGGTATTTATCAGAGCCAAACTTGTTCACCGCTTCGTGTGAATCATGCAGTCTTGGCTGTCGGTTACGGAACACAGGGTGGTACTGACTATTGGATTGTGAAAAATAGTTGGGGATCGTACTGGGGTGAGCGCGGTTACATTCGAATGGCTAGGAATCGAGGTAACATGTGTGGAATTGCTTCGCTGGCCAGTCTCCCGATGGTGGCACGATTTCCGTGATACGTTTCTGTTATTATGAAAACGCACCAAACAATAAATTTCATTCAGCTTTGCTTCATTTTCTCTCCTATTACCGTGATTGGGAAATATCAATAGATGTGTGTATATTCAACCGAACGAGATCGATATTTTCCCGATCCTCGTGAGTTCCGTTCACTACTGGAGCATGGATTTTGAAATGAATGGTTATCGCTATTCGAATACATACACACGAGATCAAGTAGGAAATTACTGTTTACAAATCTGGCGGATTTCTTGCTAAGTGATTGTTTGATTTTATGAATTTGCAAGCGTATAAATTACACAACAAACATTTCGCAATAGCTTCATCGATCTGGTTAAGTTTGTCTGGCATTAGTTTGATAGGATCTGATCTTTTCAGAGTTAGATCGCACCACACTTGCATGTTTCAATTTAGGTGGAATCATTGTATTCCAGATGACATTGATTTTACTGGTCATTTTGACCTCGTAATTTCCCGGGTACTTGAGTCGTCCCAGTCATTAAGAGCTGAATAATGATGGAAATTGTTGAGTAGTAATTGGATGATAGGTGTATTTTCTTGAAACGGCAAGCACTGTCTTGTGGTTGGGGGTGTAGGGGGTTAATTTCAAAATTCATCAAGTGGGATTGGACAAAATGCCGTAGTTCTTCGAAAGTGATTCTGGGAGCCGTACTCTATCTCATACGAGCTACCTGTACGCCAGTTGTCTAGCACACTCATTCAGATACGGTATTTTGGAAACCCAAAATCTCTGTAGTGTTTCTAGTAATCTGTCTTATATTTGTGAATTTCCTTTTCGGGTGTATTTAACCCTCAGATTACCGAAATGCTCTGAATACAAATTTACTCTCTCTCTCAGTTAGCTTATGCATACAACTCATGTATAATTCGTACAGACAAATGACAAGAATAGGTACTGTTTCATATTTCGGTTCCACCAGTCATGCAAATCTACTGCTTATGAGACGGGAAGACGCAGTTAATTATAAAATCATAGGCCTACTTCTCTCAGTATGTACCAATGAGGAAGTTGACCTCGGTTATCTTCGAATTCGGTTAGCCCCCTTGTCTAGCTGTTCTCCGGCGTGTGACCACGAATGCGTGTGACAGCTTCGTGGAGCCATAGATCAGATCTGGATACTCGATCGAGACCCAAGAGATGGGAGATACCCAAGATCACAACAAGTTACCAACGCACACGTGGCACTCCTATCCGTCACCCCATAACAAAGAAACGAACCTCCATGTCTCGGCCCAAACATTGCATGTCTGTTGTGGTAAAGGCATCTGGAAATTACCGTTGCAGAGGATGACACTACAACTGAAGTAACTTGACCACAACACATGTATTTTTCTTGTAATTTGAAAGGAAAGTGACACGTTTACTGGTATTTTAGTAGTTTCTTATTGCACCAACCAAACCACAGGAAACCTCGCTTACCAGTGACGAATGTACCGTATGCGATATGGCGTTAAAGCAAATTGCTTCAGAATGGATCAGCACGATGGCCCACAAAATGACGAGATGGTGATTTGGAACTGTCAGTCCCCAGTTGAGTTGTTGAAAGCACAACACGTAGCCTGCCGGGCAGCGTTAGAAATCGTAACAGTATGGCACAAAATCCGCACTGACCTTCGCACTCAAGTCTTATCACGGATCATCTCGGAAATATGAGAAATATAAACTAATGGGATTATTTCCGTAACCCAAGCAAAACCTACTGCTGAATGTTATCAACAAACACCAATTTAAAGTAAACGAATGCACACGACCGCATGAAGAGCATCACTTGTTGACATAAGAGTATATACAAACTGAATTGACGCAGCTCAATCGAGCGCTGCTCAATTAATAACTGAAGACAAAAGAGAGGCAAAGAGAATGAAGACCAAAAAAACAACATGGATCGAGTGATAGATACGGAAGAATGCAATCACCAAAAAATGTTCACCATCATCACCAAGAGTATCCTCGTAAGAATAATTCGAAACGCACTCAAAAAAAACAAAATAACCATCGAGAACATCAAAATCAACATCATCATCATCATCATCATCATCATCATCATCATCATCATCATCATCATCATCATCATCATCATCATCATCATCATCATCATCATCATCATCATCATCATCATCATCATCATCATCATCAACATCATCAACATCATCATCATCATCATCATCATCATCATCCGAATCATCATCATCCGAATCATCATCCAAATCATCATCATCATCAACATCATCATCATCATCATCATCATCATCATCATCATCATCATCATCATCATCATCATCATCATCATCATCATCATCATCATCATCATCATCATCATCATCATCATCATCATCATCATCATCATCATCATCATCATCATCCCGATCTTCATCATCTCGATCTTCATCGTAATCCTATTTTTTCTACCATTACCGTTATTCCGAATATTTTTTTCGTACTTACTTCGTGGACCTTTCGCTCAATTGCAACCTACTGCATTGCAGATCATTATATGTCAAGTTTTGTCAGCTCGTATTGTGACATACATTGATCACGTAATCACATGAGATTTAATATTCCAAGTTGCGATTTCTGCTGAAAATTTGTTCGTTCAATTTTGCGAGGAGCACTCTTTTGAGATATGATGTATTGGATAAGTTGTTCACTTTTGTGAGAAAAACACGTTTGAAAAAGTCATAGTTTATCGGATGTGCGAGGTAAGCTAATATCTCCCGAAGCAGTTTTGTATTTCATCTGAGAATAAACTGCTCCGATGCATGCTATTCTCATTTTGATGCCAATAGCACAATGGAATAAGGGTTTATATATGTAGTAATCGCAATAGCCGAACTTATGTGGAGTACTAAAGTCGCATTCACCCGGAACTGCGTAAACAAAAGTAGTAAGAACCCCAAGGCTTAGGAATAGCATGTTGATTGTATTACGGAACCCGTTTGTATAAATATTTTAAATCGAAGAAAATAATTGGTAGATTGGAAGTTGACCAAAGATGGGGAGCTTTTGTCATACCTGTCCACGGAAAAACCGATTGGTTGGGGCTCGTCCACATGCGCAGCCACGAAGCTGTACTTGGCCGCTTCGTGTGTGACGGCGGCTAAATCACCACAATATCATCACATTGTACATGGAAAGTTCAATCACGATTGATACAACCGTGACCGATCGTATTACCAATTTTGTACTCCTTGTCAACGATAGTCTACAACTTTGTCTCCCTTTGGATAGAATTAAGATGCGTACGTTTCTTACAACGTGACAGATGAATTTATTGAGGGTGTTCCGTAATTGCTATTCATTCCACAAGCACACTCAAGTTTATCCACATATAAATTTGATTATGCACGTGAGAATGTGAATGATTTGGAATGTTTCGACGACTACCGATTGAACCACATGATCATCGATACTAAATGAATGGTATCATTGGCAATCCCAACCGTCCTCACTGTCGGAGTGTTTGCTTCGAATGACGATTTGTGGCATCATGGAAAGCGAATATAGTATGCAGAATACACCGA